ATGTTAGTTTTTCTTTCTTTCTTTCTTTCTTTCTTTCTTTCTTTCTAGCTAAATCTGGCCTTAATGTACTATGATTTTACCATGTGAATATTTTACCAATACAAATATGAATTAAGAGATTACTATTATGCAAAATACTTTTTTAATAATAAAAACACAGTTTGATAAGTCTTACGCAATCTGGAGGTTATTATTTTCTCTTTTTTTCCACTTTCAAACCTTCCATTTTTGGCTTATAACACCACATTCCCTTTTAACCTTGCACCACATACTTCAGATGATAACAGAGAGTGACTTTAAAACAGTGGCTAAACTGACAGAAGTGAAGTCTGACAGCCTCTGTATGGCATGTGTGCTCTCTGAAGGCCTAGCAGCTGGTGTCAGACAGAGAGGGACATTCATAGGGAAAACAGCTGTCATGAACACCCTGCATGTGATTGCCCTGCTCTGCCTTTTTGCCAACCTCATCAGTGTGGGTTTTGAGGCCGGAGGGCTGGTGTAGGGCCCCTCGACAGGGCCCAAAAGTGCTGACTGCATGCACACTTCAACTGCAGCCTTTCCTGGATTCCAACTTATTGTTTAGAGAGAGATACAGTACGGCTTATGAGCAGTGGTCAGCATTGCTTTTGATTTATGAATAAGAATATTATCCTGTACTTCAAAAATGGGCTAGTCATGCAATTCTATCTGAAGTATGCATGCAAGCAGGAACCTCCAAGTGTGTCATTTTTAGCTTTTAAAATAGACTACTTTCTCTTAACCAAACTAATATGCAATAGATATAAAAATGTGATTCTAAAAGTCACACAGCTCTATTTATGATTTTATGGGTTCTTTATGTGTTTATTTGGAAAATATAACCTAACAAAATCTTGGATGATGGATTGTTCGGTATATGGTTATCCAAATTTTGTCACGTGGCATTTTAGGTTCATCAGTGTGGTTCCTACAGTTCCATGTGATGTATTTGGATGAAATCTATGTGTAAGTGTCACTTCACGTGAACCTCATCAACTTCATGTGAATCTAAGCATTGCTCAAACCAGACAAACATCGCTGAACATACATTACTGCTTGAACCTTTGATTCCCTTGTGTTCAGGTTTTCGTGATGCCACAAAGTTCACCATCTGTTTGTGTGGGTTTGTGTTTTACAGTGAAGTCAAACGTAGAGGTACTAACATTTATGATGTAGTATATTGGTAAATAGTCTTAAAAAATTTCAGCTGGATGTTCAAAACCAGTAGGTCCTTATATATATATATATATTAGTGCTGTCAAACGATTAATTGCGATTAATCGCATCCAAAATAAAAGCTTTTCTTTACATAATATATGTATGTGTACTGTCAGGCCCGGATTGGCTAATCGGGAGCACTGGAAGGATTCCCGGTGGGCCGGTCTATCTTTTTGGCCACGAGGGCCGATGTTGTCATGCCACTGGGTTGAAATACATTGAAATCATGAAAACAGAATACATTAAAAGTATATAAAATGTATACATAATTTAATACAATTTTAAAACCCTCAGGTCTACCTTTGCCAATAGTTGCATTTTCCTTGCTCAAGTCTCTATCAGCATTGCAAATCTTGACATTGGAATTTTTGCCCATTTCGTTCCAGCATTGCTCAAACTCAATCAGACTTAATGGGAACTGAATGTGAACCATAGCTTTTATGTCATTCCACAGATCATAGTCTGGACTTTGACTGGGTCGCTCCAGAACATTCCTCTTTTAGGATTGAAGGCGTTTCTCTGGTCATCGTCCAGTTGAGATTTGAACAAAACTCATCTTCCGAGTCCCAGAGCTCATGCAGACTGAAGCATATTCTCTTGAGGGAGTTTTTTTTTTCAGTACGTTTTGTACTCGAACATTTTTCCTAACATCCTTCTTCTTTCCTCAGAGAAGAATTCCCGAAGCATGATGCTGTCAGTGCTATTGCATGACTGTAGGGATGGTGTTTCTACAGTCATACACTCTATTAGATTAGATCTCACAGAATTGAGGCTCAAACGTTCAGTTTTAGGCTGATCAGATCATAAAATCGAGAGTCTCCCATGTGTTCGGCCAAACTCCAGCTGAGATGTAATATGAGTTCTCACAAAGGCTTTCTGTGATTCAAGCCAGCTATTGTGTCATTACAGTTTTTCTCAACTGTGTCATGATTGTGGGTCTCTTAGGGCTTAACTTTATCACACATTTCTTAAAAAACAATAATTATTATATAATCAACTCTGAAATATGCTGTTGGTGATTAAGAGACAATATGATGAGCTTATGTTTGCTCAGATACGCAATGTCAATTCAATACTAAGTCTGTGCATATTTCGTAAAAGAGCCTTGGATATTATTATATATTCTTTATAAAGTCCAGGAAGTGACACAGACTTTTCACGAAAAGACCTGAGATTACATGATCATACCTGGAAATATTAGACCTGGCATTGTTGTTCAGATGAAGTGGGAGCTGTTGACTCATCAGAGCAATTTACTGACCTTGAAAAGACCTTGAAGGTTAGTGCGAGGAGACCAAAATAACACATAAATCGATACCCTCTGTGTGAGCAGACACTGGTGTGAAGCTGCACTATATGTGAGCTGTGTTTGGATGGATGTATGGGAGGGGTTGGGTCATACAGTACATGTGCACACGTGACAGACTGAACTCAGCATCCCCCTCGGACACCCAAATTTGGTATCTTCCCATTTATCTAAATAACCCACCAAATCGTCAATGAAGGCAGCTGGTGCATACAATTATGCATTCGTGAGGGTCCTAGCAAAACTAACATCTTTTACAATAATTACTTTTTTTTGCTTTCAAAGACAGTGTTAATGTTTCCATACCTCAAACATAGCTTTGATGCATGCATAAAAATATATTTTTTATGCCCAGTAGGAGTAAAGGTCGTTTTTCCTGTCTTTACTAGATCAGAAGTCAATAGCTGGGCAGTGGTTCATTCAACAGGGAATAGGAAGGGAGATTCTGGAAGATATTTTGAGTAAGGGATTTATCGGCGATAAACAGGAAGTCATGTGAAACGTGCCTTTTGCATTATACTAAAAAAGAGATATGAGAATACATTTCATGCATTTACATGCAATCACACAGTCTGACATTAAGCATCCTAAATATGAACAATTCTCTTCTTCATAAGGTTGAAGTTCTTATCTGTTGCATATTGCTGTATGCTTTTAGGGTTTACATAAGGAAATTAACATATCCTTCAAAATTCAACATAAACAACATCTTGACACTGGATTTAATTTGCTGTAGGAACAATGTGTTCCTGGCCGAAATGTTTTTTTTTTTAACCTTCAAAATTGCTTTCACCAGCACTGAACTAAAAATACAGACAATTGCGCCATTTAGTGGTTGTAATGACCTAAAACAACATGCCATATATGCCAAAACTGAACGTGCATTGCGCTTGGTTCGGTTCATTTAGCAGTTTTCCAAACCATCGCACGCTTGTTCAATCTAAAAAAAATTCTCAAGGAAATAAGAATGAATTTGGATTTCGAAATAGTCCAAAGTAGACACGTGACTGTAACTGCACCAGCATTATTGTTAACACTAAGCTTAGCAACCATATACAAGCAAAGCATGATGAGCTCAAAAGAAATATCTAGGCCTACATATAACACGCCTATAGTTTATAGTCCGAAGAAGTCACTCGCAGTTTATACATTATTAACTTAATAATGATTCCTGTCTGGTCAAGTTTGTGCTAAAGCTTCAAAACCGCCGTCTGTCATGCTAGTTCATTGCTTTAAACAAGTTAAATGTTGTTTTGCAAAGAACTTGATTCTAACAAAGAATGTTTTGCTCATTTTTGACGTTCACTTTAATAAATCTATGTTCATGCTCAACATCAACACAATGTGGCCATACCAACATGATTAGTTTTTCACAAATATCTTTAGTTTAGATCAAAGCAGGCTTAAAAGCTGGAAAAACATCATCAATGCATTTAAACGTAAAAAGCATTTTACCACATCCATTTGAAAGACTATACCTTTGTGATTTTAGGTAATAAAAAGTTAACTTTGCACATTATGTACAATACAAACCATAAGCACATTATCAGTGGTGTTAACATTTACAGCACATCATAAATACAGCGCAAACTGTAATATATCAAACATGAACAAGACACAAAAATAAAACTGTATAGTTAAGTTATTGTAGTCTTTTATATACATTCATTAGATCTTATTCACGAAACAGCCAGAGCTTTGTGCACATTTTATGAATTTCAAGCAAAGCTTATTATTTCTGTCACTATTATTTAAAATTATTTAGCTCCTTATTTCCTGACATTGCTTCATGACACTTATTCATCTGACAGCACACGTTTAAAATCTGGCTACAAGTTTGTTGGCTCAGATGTGTTATTACAGTAAAATGTACATTCAATTCAACTTTTGAAGTCAATCTCCCTTACAAAAGTTCAAACTGAAATACACTTTCATACAGAAGGAGAAGTGCTGGCTATGTTCAAAAAACACAGAATACACATGTTCATGTAATCCCTGTTGAAAAAACCAGCATATGCTGGTTAGGTATGTTTTGAAGCTGGGATGCTGGTTTAAGCTGGTCCTGCTGGTTTAAGCTGGTCCTTTGCTGGTTTATGCTGGTCCTTTGCTGGTTTATGCTGGTCATGTGCTGGTCTTAAGCTGGTCGGACCAGTTTAGGACCAGCACATGACCAGCATAAACCAGCAAAGGACCAGCTTAAACCAGCATCCCAGCTTCAAAACATACCTAACCAGCATATGTTGGTTTTTTTCAACAGGGATACAAAGAAAACAGCTGTCAAATTGTGCAGGACACACTCGACAGTCCAATTCTACTGAAATAAATGAATCACAAGCATGAATTTTAGCATCATTTTAGCATTATTCTTTCTTTTTTTTTTTTTACAAAACTGAATCAAATAATTTGTATTTCCTAGATAATCATGCAACATGATGAAGTGATGAATCTGTAGTGTAGCATACCATGTTTTAAATGTTTATCATTGCATAATATGTACTATGCTGTGTTGTATTTCAAGAAAAAAAGAAGGCAGTATGCAGTATATACTAGGCAGCATGCATTGAGTAGTATGCTAGACTACACTGAAAACATTCACAGTTCTCCACTTGGAGGCAGTATTACTTCATCATGCTACAGGTTTGAGTGCATTTAGTCTCAATGCACACTCTGAAATGTACAGTACGTTGTTTATACAAAACCTGTGGATGTATTCACTTTGTTTTAGGTCTGTAATGGAGCACCTCTAACAGAACCACAATCCGATGCACGTCTGGTCTGGCCCTTTAGCTGAGCTGCTCGGTTGCGAATGTGGGCTCTCTGTGAAGACAGAGTTTAGTCGCTGCTGTGCTTTCGTCTTTGACCTCCACCTGACACTGCAGGGACTTGGTGCTCTTGCGGTTGCTGCGGCACGGGTCGTCGCCGTGGACGCTGGTGTCGATGCGGGACAGGGTGCACATGCTGCTCTGGTTGCGTGGGTGGAGACGGGTGGGACGGAGCTCGAGTTCATCGTAGCTGGATACCTGGATGAAGGGACACCACCTGAAGGCTCGTTTGAAACCGGCCCTAAATCTGGAGGTTTGGAAAAAATGATCTTCTCATTGAAATGCATTACATGTTCATCTCAAAATATTTTAATTAATATAATTGTAATTCTTAATAATAACTTCATAATGAGCTAGGATAATAGATCTTGTATGTATATGAATTATGTAGATGGTCCAAAATTAATATTGGCCAGCACTAGTAAGTACAGTGAGTAAAAAGGTTTGGCAAGTAAACAAGACCAAGTTACTCGCCAAGGTTCTGCAAGAATATATAAAGCAGAACTCTAAGAATGATACTTTTTAATATTCAAATAATAAAGATTACAAATTTATAATATATGTTTTTTTTATTTTTTACAAATAAAATATATTCATAATTTAAAACAGTATATTAAATATATTATTAAAAATAACATTAATATTTTATATTTCAGTATATTAACATTATATATTGGTATATTTAATATTACTATATTAACAATATATTTAAATAATTAAATAATTAAAAAAATATATGTAAAAAATATGTATTGTAATATGTATTTTAATAAAATATTTTTAAAACGTTATTATTATTATTATTATTATTATTATTATTATTATTATTATTATTATTATTATTATTATTATTATTATTATTATTATTATTATTATTATTATTATTATTATTATTATTTAATTTATTAATGCATAAATACATTATATATATATATATATATATATATGTGTGTGTGTGTGTGTGTGTGTGTGTGTTAAATAAGACCAACGTACTTGCCAGTAACTACTACTTTCAGAACTATTTTTTAGATTTTATATTCAAAATAACAATACTTTTTATGTGCAAATAATATTTTACAAATATTTATAAAATATATGTGTATTTCTAAAAAAGAAAGAAAGAAAGAACTTTCTTTTATGGCCAGAACATTTTCTCCATTGGTAGATGTGGTAAAAAGTTAATCTTGGACCTTGATTGTATATTAGTAGATGAGTGTTTCATTACCTGCCATTCAGACAGCAGTAAATGATGGGGTTGTACATGGTAGAGCTCATGGCCAACCACAACACAGACAGATAGACCTGCTGGATGGACTTCCACTTGTTCAGACGCTTGTTTACGCCCGTCACGATGAAATAGACGTGATAGGGCAACCAGCAGAGGGCAAATGTCACCACCACCACGATCATCATCTTCACCACCTGAGGAGAGAGCGAGAGATCATTTAGAGTCACAACATGAAGCATATGCCAGCAAAACATATGAGTTTCGGGTTCTTGTGTTCTGGAAGAAAACAGCACCAGGGAAAGTCACGGCTCAGCTCGCAGTCTGTTTGAAGTCTCCATCTGCCGACTCATAGCCATCTACTGCCATTGTTCAGCGAACAAAAACTCAAACCTGAAAACTGATAATGAATGATGAGAGGAAACGTGTTGGGTGGTGATTTGGCACCACACTGAAAGCTTTTGCACCGGTCATCAGACATGTGAGTCAACCTCAGTTTTTATCATGAAAGAGCAGGAGGAACATCACCAGAAGAAATTATAGTGTGCCGAAAAGTACATAATCGCATGTTTCATATGTAAATGGCACCAAAGGAGGATACTGTGTTTTGATTTGTTGTTACTGGCATCAGGTGGAGAGAATGGAGCAGACTGTTCAGGGGTCCAGGAGTCATTTGTTCTTGTTACACTGAACCAGCAGCATCTGGCCCGCGTTTCAGCGCATTCTAGAAAGTACAAGGCACAAAGTGCTCACTAATTAGACAGGAAGAGACTATTTCAGTATTTCAGACCGAAATATGAGTATGAAATATGACCACATTTTTTCATTGTTTCATTGTCAAATAGAAAGTTAAAAATAAATTTTTTTTTGTAACATTATAAATTTCTTTGCTATCATTTTTCATCAATTTAATGCATTCTTGCTGAATCCAAGTATAATAAATAAATAAATAAAAGACATCTTACAGATCCCAAACTGTTGAATGGTAGTGTGTATTGTATTAGTGTGTATTAGCATATTTGCATATCTTTCATTTTAAAGTTTTGGTAATTTTGTTGTGTTTTTAGATAGATAGATAGATAGATAGATAGATGATAGAACTACAACAGAAGATACAGACAGATAGATAGATAGATAGATGACAGAACTACAACAGAAGATACAGACAGACAGACAAACAGATAGACAGATAGATAGATAGATAGAACTACAACAGAAGATAGATAGATAGATAGATAGATAGATAGATAGATAGATAGAACTACAACAGAAGATATAGATAGATAGATAGATAGATAGATAGAGCTACAACAGAAGATATAGATAGATAGAACTACAACAGAAGATATATTGATAGATAGATTGACAGACAGATAGACAGACAGACAGACTGTAGATAGATCGATGATAGAACTACAACAGAAGATACAGACAGACAGACAGACAGACAGACAGCTAGATAGATAGATAGATAGATCTACAACAGAAGATACAGACAGACAGACAGACAGACAGATAGATAGATAGATGATAGATCTACAACAGAAGATACAGACAGACAGACAGACAGACAGATAGATAGATAGATGATAGATCTACAACAGAAGATACAGACAGACAGACAGACAGACAGATAGATAGATAGATAGA